TCACTTATGTTTACTGTTTTTTTTGTTATATTTTATAAATAGTATATCAAATTTTATTTAAAAATCATACACACATATATGGCTTACAAATGAAATCAGTAGAATTTTACAACTCCTTTTAGGATTAATGATGAATATATCAAGAAAAATAAGATCCCAATTCATGTCGAGGTAAACACACTTGATTAGCTGTTGGACGATCAATTTTCTTTCGTTCATCTATTACTTTCCAATAGTTTGTATAGATAAATTGTACCAATTTACAATATTTATTAATACTAGTTTCTTTAGTTAATAACCATTTACGCATTGTTGCATTCACACCCAAAATTTTATCAGCCAATTGAAGATTTTCAGGTAGCGATCGTTCAATGATACTTAATGACTAAAATAAAAATGAAAATATTTTGTAAGATCATGTCAAGAATGCAAAATCTCAATATTTCATTGTTAGGAAAAGAATTATAACATACCGAATCATTTTTCGTTGGTATTTGTCTAAACCATAGATATTCATTATAAGCCGTTTGATTATTTGATAAATAATTTAAATAATCAGCTAATTCTTTAACTGATTTATAATCATATATATTAATATATGAATATTTTGGTGCAAAACGTGAATAATCCGGTTTACCATTTCGACTTGCAACAATAGGTATTGATGTTGATGCAAATACTTCAATTAATTTTTCTGTAACATAATCTTCACAATTCGAATTTTCAATTGCAATTACAAATTTATATGTTGAATATAAAATCGAATTTATTTGTTGACGTTTTTGTATATTACTTAATTTAATATTATTAAGACATTTACCATAAGAATCAATACGAATATATGTCATTAATTTTTCAATAAAAACTTGACGTGCATTATAAGCTTGACTAAAAATCAATATTTTTTATGTTCATAATAAAAGAGGAATATTATTTAGTTTAACTTACCAATTCGATATAATCCAAACGATTGGAGCCGTTGTTGTTTTATTTATGAAAGGTATATAAACCGGCGCAAATAATTGCGGAAGATATATTTGAAGATCAAAGTAAGTAGCAGGTTCAGGATATGACCGTTGAAGATTATACCACATTGGAAAATCAATTTTATGCCAATGTTCACCATTTGATGAATGTACTTCACTTTCAAGTACATAAGTAGTAGAAAATTGTTGTTGTTGATCATTACGTATTAATTTTGGTAAATTCTGCCATGGCATATGAATAGAATGATATGCTAGAAGATGAGCTTGCTTTAAATATGATCGATCAGATGTCCAACGAACATTAAGTTTTGATAAACGAGAACAACGTTCAATAAGAAATAAACGAAGTGTATTATTCAATATTGAAATAAATTTTAATTGACAATAATCAGGAGTTATATGGGAAAAATCACCTAAAAAAATGTCGATGTAATATAAATCTAATTATTTACAAAATTCTTTCTATTCATCGTCGATTATAGAAAGTTTATTTGATTAGCTAATTCTATTGATCATTTCAACACATAAAAATAATTTTATTAGTAACAGTTTTCTTCGAAAGATATAGAAATCTAAACTTACATTTAATCGGATCTTGTTCTTTGAATATATGTTGTGTAGCAGTCCAATCAAGTACAAGAAAATCATTATCGTTTTTTTTAATCAAAAATGGTTCTTGTTGTTTATTATAATTCACATGATCGATTAAATCTTTCGCTTCAATACGAAATTGAGAAAATATGTATATATTGATTAAAATCGTACAAAGAAGAAAATAGATGGATACACATTTCAGTGATTTTCGCATCGAATAATA